GGTCGTGTGAGTAGACAGATTGAGGAAGACTCCAGAGAGTGGTCCCAAGCCTGTGGGACAGAGATGAAAACAGTGCAGGTAGATAGGTTAATGACATCCAAGTACTTACCAGTTTAGTCAAGAAGATAACTAACTGCTTATAGAATATCCTTCATTTTAGAAAGTTCCCACCAGTACTTTATTTAATATAGAGATTTTATTATATGTTTTCAGAGATATATATTTCCACAGAAAATTTCTAATCTTATAACTATGTTTGTAGATACACCTTATTTATATACTACCAAGAAAAATGTTACCAAACTATGACACCTTATTGATTCTAAGATGCTTCCAATTGTTAAATGTGAAAAAATATGTATCTCAATATTTCCATGAAATGCACTAATATATTGGTTAGTAGAGCTGATTTGAAAACTTAAAATCCTATTTAAAATCGCAGTTGCATCGGAATCCAAGTAAAGTTCTTTATTTAATGATAATTAAATAAATCTCATTCTAAACTATCATTTTAAACTCTTAAAAATACATTAAAATGTGTAAATAAATACATATAAAGAGAGATTCAGATTCATTTACATATGGGGTTGTTTTCTTTGTCCCTCCCAGGTTCTGACTCGGTGGAAGCAGATAGCCAGTCGGAGTGGAGCAACATTCAGAGGAAGGTCATCCCCTGGAAGAACAAGGATCCAGAGTCAGACCTGGAGCTCATGTTTCAGGATCGTGCTGCCAAACTTGGAAAGTCGATTAATAGATTGATTGTAGTGGCCTCACTCATTGATAAACCAACCAATTTAGGAGGTAAAATTGTAGTTTTCCAAAGGAGCTTGCTTAGTATCTTTTGGTCTTAAAATCTTTTAGTCAGTCTACTGCCATGAGAGCTTCAAAGAAATGTACGGGACGCAATGAGCTCAGCATTATATTGGAAACAATCGTGATAATTTCAGGCTGTTTTGTGCAGGACTGTGCAGGACCTGTGAGATATTTGGGGCCTCCGTGCTCGTTGTTGGCAATCTTCAGTGTGTCAAGGACAGACAGTTTCAGCACCTCAGTGTCTCGGCAGAACAGTGGCTTCCTTTAGAGGAGGTGGGTGGGAAGTAATTTATTATTAAAGTTTTTACTTTTGAAAATATTTTGTAGTGCTCTATCTTCCCGTATTTGTCCTTTTGCAATAATATATAGTAGCATAGCCTTTAATGGTTTAAAAATAATACTTTAAAAAAAATACAGGCTATTTCTTTTCTCCTGTTTCTTTTATTATATTTCACATTGGTGTATTTTTAGAAATCAATAATGTTGCATTCATTTCAGTAAAATATGTCCTGGTATGGCTTACTCTTGATTTAGGAATAATTCTTACAGATTTGTATGATGTTGGGGAGATCTTTTTTATAGTATATAAATCTGTCCTTTTCCTTTTACAAAGACTTAGTTTAGTAAGTTGTTTTTGTTTTTTTTTTAGCTCTCATTTTACTCTAAGCAGGGCTATAACTAAATGGTTTAATATCTATTCTTTTTGAACTAATATTAAGGTAAAACCACCTCAGCTAACTGATTATCTGCAACAGAAAAAAACAGAAGGTTATACCATCATTGGAGTGGAACAGACTGCCAAAAGTGTAGACCTAACCCAGTATTGCTTTCCTGAGAAATCTCTACTGTTGTTGGGGTAAGAAAATTCTGTTGCCCATATGTTCTCTGAGCCCCAGTCTAGAAGATGTTGCCTTTCTAATTTGCAGTTTACCTAGACTCCTGATCTTATACCCTCACTTTTTTGACTTGTAATGTTAATGGAAAACCTCCCTAGTTTGCCTTTCATTTCACCTGCCTGGGATGGTCAGGTGAACACAGAACTGACCCATAAGTCCTTTTGTTACACTTTGAGTTATTTCCTGGTACCACAGACCTGCTTCATTTGTAATCTCTCCCCGTCAGTAACGTTCAGAATATCTAAGAGTCTTCTTGCCTACTGGTCCTAGAAAGTAATAAAAAAATAAAAAAAAAGAACATCTAAGAGAAAAATTGTCTAATACAGGAAAACTTTCTGCCCCCACTTTCTTTGTCAGAAATGAACGTGAAGGAATTCCACCAGATCTGATCCAGCAGCTGGATGTTTGCGTGGAAATTCCTCAACAGGGCATCATCCGCTCGCTGAACGTCCACGTGAGCGGGGCTCTGCTGGTCTGGGAGTACACCAGACAACAGCTGCTCGGGCGTGGGGAGACCGGCTTTTTTTTCTTTTCTAAGAGAACTCTTCTTATTTCCCAAACAAAGTCTTAAACAGAAGCTCATACCAAGCAGGTTAAATGGATGTGAGGGAGGAGTGCATGACCCAGCATTTTGTAAAGCCCCCAGGTGGTTCCAACCTGTACTCTTCTTTTTTCACACCTGGCATGGCACAGAAGCTGGCTACAGTGTCCCACGCATTTCCTGGTATCTGAGCTTGTTTCCTCATCCTGAGTGGTGGTGTTTTGCATTCTTCAATTATTATCGTTGATTATTGCCTCCAGGAATGCTGGATTTTATAAATTTCAGAAACCCAGACAGTATTAATGAACATAAAAGATTTTTCTTTAGAAGCTCAAAAAGCACCCAGTGGTTTATATACACAAACAGATAAAAGGTTGGAAGCAGCATATTAAGCAAATGAAACAGTGTTTGGAAACCAGTAGCATTTAGGAGTCTTTGCCATGACCATCAAGTTAGCACGTGGTACAAAATAAGACTGGCGGCTGCCTTATACACCTTCTCCTCCCTTAACTTTTGATACTTTTGTTGAAAAGAGGCATTTGGGCAATTAAGTGGGTAAGGAAAGTTTTAGATGCTTGGGAGAAGCTGTTCAATTCAAGAAATGTAAGTATTAAAATATAGTGACATGAGATAGAACAGAGAAAAGGG